ACCGATTTCTGGAGCCCTAAACTCAGCCCTGGGTCCCCCTCTTGCCCCCAAGCACTTACCCAGCTGTGTGGAAGCCTCAACCACACTCCACGGCATATTCTTCCGCTGCCCGATGATGACGTCCAACACGAAGGCCTTGAGCCCGTCCTCCAGCACGGCCCGGACCGCGGGGCACAGGTATTTCAGGACCAGGTGGCCCACGTTGGGGCTCACAGAACTGTTTCCTAGCTTTGCCTGCAGGGGCAGCCGGGAAGTACAGGACATCATTTGGAGCCTGACCTCGGTCCTCTCTTGTTGGCCTGCGCGGTTCCCCTCTTGCCGCCCCCATCCATAGGCATCCAGCTCTGGGCTCTAATTGCCAGAGAGCAGGGGAGGTGGTAGCACAGAGTGGATGAGGGTGGATGAGAGTGGATGAGAGTGGATGAGGGTCCATGCCGTGGGGGGGGGCTCAGCTTGCCTACCTTCACCCCAGGATCCCGGCTTGTGCCAAAGTGGGCCACAATGAGGTCCACAGCAGTGTTGACAGCCTTAACCAGCCCTGCAAGGAAGAGTCTGATGTGACAGGTCATCGAACAAGTCCCTCACCAACTCCCCTGGGGCTGAGCCCTCAGTGGGAGGGGGAAGGGCTCCCAGATGCGCTCTTGTCCTGCACCTGGACACGTGTCTCACCTGACTTCAGGGCAGGCCCTTTTCTGTTTTTGCCCAGTGCTTAAGTCCTTCCCATCTTTACCTCCCAGCCCAGGCCCACCTCAATGATGCCACCGTTAAGACCCTCAGCTTTCTTCCTTCCTAGGCTCTTATTCCAGTCCTGGATCAATCCAGCTGTCAGTCTTTTTTGCCCTGGGAGTTGAAGAGACTCAGGTCCCTCACACCAGGGCAAGGCAAGGCCAGTTCTTTGGGGTGTGTCACATCAGACCCTCTGCCACCCCCTCTGCTTGCCATGTCAGATATTGACCCTCTTCCCACAGGTCACAGATACCTTCAGCTTCCCGCTCCCTCTGGAAACACATAATGATTTGTATCTATGACCCCTCCCGCCCCTCATTCC